AAAGAACAATGCCTTTATATTTGTGTCTTGTTTCCAGGATTTGGGTTTGACTTTTTTTTTTTAAGATGTTTGCTTAATCACTAGAATAGAATAGGAAGATGTATTTGGAGGATTTGATTTTTCTCTTTGTGTTGTTTTGCAGTGAACTCATCCTGTTAAAAGTGCCAAAGGGAGGGATCAGTATTTCAGACACTAAGAGTTCTGGCAAATACTACTCTTTCAACTGGCTTTCAGTCGAAGATCTGTTTTCAGGATTGGATGAATTTTCTATAATTCAACTTCCCTTTTCTCTACAGAGTACCTAGAGTGAAGCTGAATTAAGAGTTGGCTGCAGATTTCATTGGGAATTCTATACAGCAGTGCCCAGAATAGCCCAAAATGAGTCATGTGATTGCCTGTTTGCCCATGCAGGTTTGTTCACTACGCAGAATCCAGGAGAGGGTAAACCCCTGGATATGAGCATCTTTTCAGGTTGCATTGAACTGCACATAAAGCAGGTTTTGCAGCAAACCTGTAAAGAACTCATATTAATCTTGTAGTAGAAAATTGAGTGTTGCTGCTCAAGCTGTCCAAAAGCTGCTGGTACCAAGTCCAAATGGAGAGGAGAGCCTGAGAACTCAAATTCAGGAGCTGAGAGGCTGTCTCTGTGTGTTCACACAGCTGAAAGTCTAATAGGTTTCTTCATTTTTTAACTTTTTGACAAGGAACAAGTGAAATAAAATGAAAGCTTAATTGGATTGGGTGGCTCAGGTGGCAGAGGAACAAGAGATTGGATGATCCTTCAGGAAGCCCTGTGCAACACCACTGCCCAGGCTTTCTGCAGGAAAGGAAGATGGGTGCTCTTAATGATCCTACCTGGGCTAGAAACCATCTCTTGTTCAAAGCAAGGCTAGCAAGGAAAGCTGGAAGGCTTGCCAGGGGCCTGATATCCAGACTGTCCTGCCTTTTTCATGGCTGCTGTATTGTTTCTTTGTGCTCCTGTTTGACTTGGGACTCCACTGCAGTTTCCAAGGTGTAGAATAGGTTGTTTTGTCTACAACTCTGTTTACCCCCCAGAAATCATCCCAGTCCCTTAAAATGCCTTTGATTAATTTTTTTGAATCTTTTGCTCATGTCTATATCTACCTCCTGATTTTATGCTCTTGATCCTCATCTGAGGGAACAAATATACCTTGTGTGATCAAGGTCTTGGCTTTCCACATCCTGTGTTCCAAGTTCCTGCTGGGAGACCACTGCTGGTTTGCAGTTTGAAGAGCTGAGGACATGAGGGACTCCAGATCAAGTCAGAGTGACAACATTCACTGAGCAAAGAGAGCCTCGTACTCTGGTGTCTGTGGGCATTTTGTTTCACTCTTGCCCCAGGCAAATCACAAAGGGCACATGGGCTGTGGGTGTGTTTGTCTATAGATCCTTTTGGGACTGCAAGCACAGCCTGTGTGTTTTTCTGATAAATGTTATCCTTGCTCCACTGCAGCTCTGATGGGACCAGTTTTAGTCTCTTGTTTCACCCTTGGCCTGCCCTTTCACCCTGGTAGCACATCTGATCAGGAGATGCTAATGGAAACACTCCTGGTGTAGAAATGATTCAGATGATCTGCAGCAGAAACTATTTTAATCTGAATCTGGATGCAAGAGCATGCCACAGGATTGGGGTGATTGGACTTTGTTCATGAAACCTCCCAAGTTTGCCTGAGAGGAGGGAGCAGCTCTCAGGAGAAGCTGTCATGAGTGGACCCCCAGCTTCTCCTCACCAGCCAGATACTCACACTGTGCCCAAATGTAAAATGTGCTTGTTCTGGATGAATGTAGGACCTTCATCCAGGTGTAAGTTACCAGGAAAACCTTCTGTCACACTTCCTAGGAAAGACTTCCTTCTGTCAGACTTAGGTATGTCTGGAGAGGGAATGTACTTTTCCATGTTCACTTCAGGAAAGTGGATGAAGCAAAAACTCCTTCATGTTTTGCCTGTGTTTGGACAGATGTTGGGCAAAAGCCTTTGGTAAATGCAGGGGGGAAAATGTGGTGTCAGGGATTTTGTTTTATTTTGGGCTGACTTGGGGTTAGATGTTCTGTGTTGTGTGAGATGTTTTGTTGTTTTGAGGTTTTCTTATACATTGCTTTGATTGTTCCAGGAAATAAATTTCTGATCTTCTTAGATATCTTCAGTTTGCAGCTGCATATTTTTTACATCACTTGTATTTTCCAACTAAGACCTTCTGAGTTTTCTGGTGAAAAGCTGGTGACAAGTATGTTGCTTTCACATGAGTACACCAAAATTTCCTTTTGCAGGGCATATATTTCCTGAAATAGCTTTTCTGCCAAGCAAGAGGAGTTTAATTTAGCTGAACTGCTCACTGAAGATTTACCTGATAATTTCATAATGTCTGTACTTCAGTGTATATTCTTGGATTTATCAGGGGAAAAGCTGTCTGGTGGATAGAAGCTTTGCCCTGGTTACATTGTAAGTAGACATCTCCCTGGAGATGAGGTGTAAATGTCGTGTTGCTGATTAGCATCTGACATGGGGCATGGGAGCAAAGAAAGGGATGCCTCGGTTCAGTCTCCAAAAAGGAGAAACTGGAATCATTGCTGAGCAGTGAGAGTGTTACTTGGACAATATCCTCCTCAGTGTCTTCTGCTCCTGGTTCCAGCTTGTGGCTGGGCCATGAGAAGTACTTTGCCACCCAGGTCTCTGAAGAGCCACTCTTTTGATGTGCTCTGGTTGTGCCTGGAGGAGTTAAGACCTGGCTCTATTGTCTTCTTAAGTGAGTAGGGTCTTTATTCTGTAGAAGTGAAATCCTGGCATATGCAGAATTCCCCTAGGAGAGCTCTTTCTGGCTGCAGCAGGATCTAGGCCCCAGGCAAGAAAACTTTCGAGAAAGCCCTGTCTTGCCTGGCTGCTCTTCCTTACTGGGAAGGCAGAGTGTCTTGGTTTAAGACAATTGAAGGCATGGACACTCCAAAATGAGTTACCTCCCCTTTTAGCTTTAACTATTCCCTTCTTGCCAGCAGGGAGAGGTGAATGGGCGTAGATCTAAGTGAAAAAATAACTAGACAAAATGTTTTAACAAAACCACGCTTTTCTCATTGAAGAGAGCTAAGTTAGATTTCAACTGCTCAGCAGTTAAATGTCAGCTATCCTTTAGTGGTCTCCCTTTGTCTTCCACAAATCCATTCCAGCTATGAAAATAGGTGGTAGGTGCTGATGTAAGGGTGGCTGTGGAAAGTTTGGCTTAATCTGAGAGTAGGGACCAATGATCAGATTAGTGATTAGCCCAAACAGAATGTTGTGTGGGTTTTTTTGCCCAAAGTTGTGAGCATAGATTGGTTGGTCCGAGGCTTTGCTACTCACTAATGTTTTTCTAAAGCCCCTGTTTTGTATAATTTCCTCTGCTGGTCCTTTGCTGTTTCTGCATTTCTTACTTGAGGAAACTGGGATTGAGGTGTGGAAATGTCACTGGAAGCCTTGATGGAGTTCTTTACCTCTTCATTGTCAAATTTGCTGTGGGAAGTATAAAAATGTGTTGAACCTTTGAACATGGGCATGTTGCAGCCACAGCAGGGTGACAGTGTCTTAGTAATATGTTTTTGCCCCTCTTGGAAAGTGACAGTTGCTTTAGCTTGTGAAGAAAAGGGCTTTAATTTTGGTACTACAAGTTTCTGGAGTCTAGAATGTGGTTCCAGGGTTAGAGGAGGCAGACAGATGGTTAGTAGTGTGGTGAAGGGAGGTTTTGGATGAATGAGAGGATAGCCTCTTCCCTGTGAGCACCTTAGCAATCATGCCATAAACTTAGCTGAGCAGGGGAGATTGGAATGTCTCCTTTGTTGCTGTGCTGGAAAACAGTTCCTGAGAGCCTTGGCTTTTGGACCACAAAAGCCAACGAGATTCTGAAAATTTTGGTGCATTATTTCCATCCCAGTTCCATGTGTACGCTCGTTATTCTTGTACAAATGCGTAAAAACCTGGTCTTTAGGCTTTCTATTTGACAATTTCAACTAGCTGACAGTGGCTAAACCCTCTTAGCACTAGTTTAGAGCAAGTTTAGTGTGTCAGCTCCAAGAATTGCCAATGGGAGATTAATAATTTCATGCCTTTTGGGAAAATTGTTCTCTGATTTCAGCTGCCTGCAGTTCCCAGTACTGAGAACTGTTTGCTCACTGGCATGGAACATGATTCTTGCTCAAGACTGTCTGCTGAAAAGCAACAGAAATTGTGTCGCCTGAAGGGTGGATTTTAATTCTTGATTGCAGGGCTGGTTGAGAAACCTCAGTGCACATGAGATGTTGGTCAACTAAACCATTCCAAGTACACCTTCATGTAAACATATGGGCATATGTAGGCATACATATGAATGTGTGTTTGGTAGTTATTCTGATACAATAAAGGGAATTTTGAGATACATTGCATAACTAGCTGCTGTGTGTTACTTGATTGTTTGTTTGTTTTGTTGGTTAGTATTTTTTCTGCAGCTTGTTCTTCCTAATCAGAATACTCAAGAGAAAATAAAGATACAGTGTTGGGGCAATTATTAGAGAATAATGCTGCAGATTATGAATTTTATAACTTAGGCTTGCTTTCCAGGGCATTGAGAGGTATGGACCCTTTTAGCTGGACAAGGCAGAATGTCTGTTCCTGTCTGTACATGAGATCATGTGTAACTTTATCAGTCTCATTACACACAGTTCCACAAAATATGTGAAAATCTAACAGAGCAAAATCTGATAGTGATCTAAATGGGAAGTATGGTTGGGCTACTTTTTGGAGATGAACATGTGATATGCATTCTGGAGGGTCTGAAATCTGTTAAGTTAGCAGGAAAAAACAGCTCTTGTTATAGAGTCTTTTAAAATGTAATCAGTAGGGAGTTTCTATTCCCTTTTTCTAAGCTGTATGTCATCAGCTGGTATTTTGTTTGAGAGAAGCAGAAGTAACCAACTGAAGCTACACAAGCTGTTTGAAATTAGGTTTTGTTTAAAGTATAAATGACCAGATTTAAAAAAACACCAAGCACACGGATTGTTGTGAAAATTGCTCCATAAAAAATCTGCTGTGTTCAGCTCTTTCTATTTTTCTTTTACACAGGCGATATGGATTATGGTTTCGATTGAGGAAGTTGATACTCTGGTTGCTGGGAATGTACATAGCCATCCCGTTTCTAGTAAAACTTTGCCCTGCTATTCAGGCAAAGCTGGTCTTCCTAAACTTTGGTAAGTGACTCAGTTGGGTGGGTGGGTGAGGGGACAAGGGGAAGGGTGTGCTTGTCTTTCATTTGTTTGCCTTCACTTTCACCCTCCATGTGAACAGCTTGTGAAGGACACGAAGTTTGACGGGTTATAGACTTCCCCAGACTGTGGTTTGGAAAGCATTCTCTGTGGCCCTGGTGGTTGCTGTAGCATGTCTTTATATAAATAGAGTGACCAAACTGAAGCCAATTTTCAGCCAAAAGAGTTTTCCTTCAGGAATACTGTGCGATGTGTCAGGTGTGTTTTTCTGAAGGGTTCCACACAGTTGCATGAATACACAGCAAGCAAGTGAAATTAAATCCAGAAATCTATTTTTGCATTTAAACCTTGCTTATATTTTGTAATGAAGTTATGAAAAATATCTTCCTCTGACTGTGGAAGCTAAAGGGACCAACTATGGATACCTTGATTTTTATATAACTTTGCTTATTTTGATTGAATGCTTTGCATGTTCTCACACCTTGGATTGTGGTTGCTGTGAAGTGTGCACATGTGCAGGACAGCTCTTGTGCTTTGATTGTCAGAACTGACAGCTACAAAACCTGAACAGTGCAGGTTTCAGTGATTATGCTTTTGCAGAGCTTTGTTTGAAATTGGGTCTCACTGAAGCTCCTGCCTCTGCTCATTCACAAGTGACCAAAATAATTGTCCTGCAGCATGTTCTTGTTGCTGTATTTGCAAGGTTTCCTCAGTATGGTCTACTGTTTAGAGTAGGCTCTCTGTTTAGAGTCAGAGCAGAGATTTCAAAAACCTGCCCTGCAGGTGGAGAGTCATGAGTAGCATGGAGAGTGGGAGAAGATGGACCAGCTTTGCCCCAGTGGTTTTGGAAGTTCACCCCTGAACAAATACAAGACCTTGGTAAAGTGGCACAATATTTGGAAGAAAATCACCACTGGCTGCTAATTATTGGACTCTGCTCATTACTGGACAGCATCCTCAGGGGGAGGGGAAGGAAAGCAGAGCAGCAGGCACCATGGCCACTCAAACTGCAGCTGAACCAAAGATGAACCTGTGCCAGGAGCAGTTGGCCCTGTACAGAAGAAGAAATTCAAGACCAGATCAGTTTGTGTAGTGAGCGATGAAGAAGAAAGAAGCAGGACCCTCACAACCAGAGGAAGAGGCAGGGCCAGAGATAATCACCTGATCCCTATACCCAGTTGAGCTGTGAGGTGAGTCCCTGGTTACCTGGCTGCTCCAAGGAAGCCAAGCAATTGGGGCTCCTGTCCCAGGATGCAGGCCTTGGCTGGGGATTGGGAAAAGACCAGAAACACTCAGACTCTGGAAATGGCTCCTGTCAAGCATGAGGGAAAGATATCTTTGCAAGGATGACCTTTTAGTGCACCAAGAGAAGTGGAACACCATGGAGCAAGGTATCCAGTACCTGAGAGAATCAGTTGTGCTGGAGGTGATCTGTAAGGACTCAAAGAAGGAGCAGTCCTGTGTAAACCCAGATGACATCCAGCATGCACAAACCATGTGTTGGAAGTTCCTGTGGAGCACAGCAGTGTTATGTGTCAGCTCATTGGCACTGATATGGTGGAAAGGAAGAGACTAAAAAATGGACAATTTGGTCCCCAAACTCCAGCCATATGAAGAAACCATCTCCTCCCTGGTATGGACCTGTGTCTCATCCATGGAAAGACTGTCCAAGGAATTAAAAAATTTAAATTAAAGAAGAAATTAAAGAGGGCCACCAGCAATTCAAGGAGGAACTGTCCCATGTCCTGCCAATACAGACCAGAGCCTCTGTTACAGTGAGAAGGTGCTTCTCTGCTTGAGAGAGAGGGGTCACACCATGAGGTACCCTGTGGTTTGACCTGCATGGGTAAAATGTCAGTGGTGCCACCATAAAGCAATTTTATTCATTCCTTCAGTAGCAGAGTGTAGGCCACAGTTGTGGAAACACAGTCTCACCATCTGCCATGGACAGATCCAGACTGCACTGGAAAAGGATGAGGCTCCAGAACATCTGCAGTACATTGATGACTTTATCATTTGGGACAATACAGCAGAGGAGGTTTTTGAGAAAGGGGAGAAATCCAGATACTCCTGAAGTCCAGCTTTGCCACAAAACAAAGTAAGGTCAAGGGACCTGCCCAAGAAATTAAGTTTTTAGGAGTGAAATGGCAAGATGGATGTCATTAGATTCCAATGAAACATGGTCAACAGAATAGCAGCCATGTCCCCACCGACCAGTAAGAAGGAAACACAGCTTTCCTAGGAGGACAGCCAGACTCTAAGCCCTCTCTATCTTGTGACATGGAAGAAGAATAATTCCAAGTGGGGCTCTGAACAGCAACAAGTTTTTTAACAGATCAAACAGGAGACTGCCCACGTAGCCCTTGGGCCAGTTAGAACAGGACAGGATGTAAAAAAAGTGCTCTGCTGCTGGGGAGAATGGTCCTTCCTGGAGTCTCTGGCAAAAGGAACCTGGAGAGACTCAAGGGCAACTCCTGGGGTTCTGGAGTTGGGGATACAAAGGATCCAAGGCCTGAATTTCTGGCTGATGTTAAACCACCACAAAGGCACAGAGGAGTTGCAGTCTGAGGGTCCACATTTGTCAAGTTAACATTGGCTGTTGTCTGCATTGGTTTTTATGCTTGTGTCAAGTTTAATGATTTTTTGGAGGGTAGGTGAAGTGAGATTTGACTGCCAGCATTATCAGTATTTCTTTTTGTGTCACTAGCACAAAAGCTTTGGTGTGTTAATTGCTGTACCACTAAATCTCAAGGAGACAGATTTCCTGGTTCTGCCGTAGTGGAGCTCCATTTTTTGGGAAAAGACTGAACCCAAATCAGCTAACCCACGCCACTGATGCAGCAGAGATTTATAAAGCAGACTGGACAGAGATGGTTAAATGTTTGTCAAATGAAGCTTTGTCTGTCTCCCCTATCTTTTCTTAATTTTAGCCTGTTCCCTATTTTTTTGGTGGTTGCCTGTGTCTTCTTACCTTGCTGTCTTTGCTGTTCATGTTTTAAATCACGGCTGTAGCAAATTCATCCTTCTACACAAAACGGTCTTCCTAGACAGCAAATCTCTCCACTGCCTTGGTGAAACAAGTTTTTGTAAGAAAATAAAGGTAAAAATTAAAATATTTCTTCTTTTTCTTTTTTTTTTTTTTAATTTCAGTGAGGGTCCCATATTTCATTGACTTGAAAAGACCACAGGATCAAGGTTTAAACCACACCTGTAATTATTACTTGCAGCCAGAGGAGGATGTAACCATTGGAGTCTGGTAAGGAATCCAGTTCTGTGCAGTATGTGCTATGCATCTTTATCCTTCTTTTTGTTCTCGGTGTTGCCTATTCAGTCTTTTTGCTGTGCATGCTCTCATTTGTGGATGTTTGTATTTTCCTCTGCCAAGTGACCGAGTTCATGTTGAAACGTATGCAAATCTCTGGGGCTCATCTGAGCTTGGATCAGTAATGTACAAAACACATTCAGACAACCTGTGCATTCAGAGAAACATCAAAATTTGGAATCATAGAGGTTACAGGTCTGCATCACTACAAAGATCTTGCCTCCAGATCAGACCAGACCCATGCAGTTAGACATTTTGTCATTCAATTCTGATTCATATTTTGTTTTGCAAAATACATGTGGGGGAAGATAGGAAAACAGATCAAAGTGTTCAGAGTAGGAGGAGGAAAATTCAGTTCATAAAACATATGTAAGATTTGGAGAGTGGGTGGGAACGGAACACACAGTTTACTCTCTTCACAAAACAAGTGTCAGTGTCAGAGCTCATTTGTCATTTCTTTCTCACAAAGATGATTTTCTGGTCCCAGGTAGGGACAACTCATTTTAGCTCCTTGTTACCCTGAATCCTGTCTGGAATGGAGGGAAGGGGGTGTTCCCTTAAAAGAGACAGTGATGTTCAATCTGTGAAGTGCAGGATTTGGAGTGTGCAGTTGTGTGTGCAACTTAGATGTGTCCTTCAATGCAGTAGAGATTCTCTCTTCACAGAGTATATAACCTTTAAATGGGATAGAGATATTCTTATAATTAGGACAACTTCTTTCCTTTAAGTAAATTTTAGTGAAAGACATGTTTAGAAACTTGAAAACTTCAGTCTGTCCAGGATAGGCTGATAAATAGTTGTTTGATTCTTCACCTGGACAATTAAAATTCTACTTGTGAAGCTGTAAAATGAGTTTTTATTGCAGTTTTGGGATTTGTACTTTGTTTTCCTTGAGACTGTACTGTGTATCTTTGCTAAAACAGAACTGCCAGCTTGTGGTAGCAATTCAGAGGCTGTCATTTGCCTTGATATGTATGGAAGATTTTCACAAAAGTTTAGAACCTTGTTTTTAAAAGCCAGTGCAAGGTCTTGTGTTTGGTACATTTGTGAAACAAAATCCTCAACCTGCTTTGTTTGTAAGTTTGCAAAAGTCTTGGGACAGAACAGTTGAAGAACTTTTGAGTTTCACAGTTACTGAGACTCTTTACCTCTTCAAGACCTTGGTGTCTGCTGGCTGCATGCAAACAAGTAGAATTTTTACATTGCTTTCTCTCTGTTAGTTTGTCCTCTGAGCTTTACATCTGGGGAGGATCTGTGTGGTAGGTGCAAGCTTGTCTGCCTTTCAGATAGAAAGGCATGTGGGTACTTAAGTTACTTCTGATGGCTGTGAGCCAGCCCCTTCCCAACAACTGAGATGGTTATGGGCATGTACTTGCTTTGTGTTTGTATTCTAATTATCCAGTTTAATTGCCTACCTTCTGTTCAGTCTGTCATTCCTCTGTCATTCCTCCACCAGTGTTGAATTCTTTCTTGCAGGCCACCTAGGTACCTTATCTGCAGAAGAACTGCTGTGAGTTAAAAATTCCTGCCTCTTGTAGATTTTGACTTTTTCAGATAAAATGTTACACCTTCAAGAACCTTGTGCCTGAAAACAAAACACATGATCATCTCAGAGCCTGGGCTCCCCCTTTTTCTCAGATTGGCTGTAGTCAGATATGCCTCTCAATCTCTACACATTCTTTCTGAGCCCAACTGCCTTTGATTATTCTGAACATCTGCTGACGTAGCAGTGAATCTTGTTTATGATATATAAGTATGTTAACTGAAGTAATTAAGTGCCATAAAAGCTGAGGAACTGTAATTCTTTTCCCAGAGCAGCAGGAAGTTCAGTAATTGTGCCTTTGAAGTTTGATGCCTTGCACAGACAGCCCTAAGTTTTGAGGGTGATGGTGACGGGAGGTGAAAATGTACAAAGAATTGTAGCCACTGCCTTTTCAATGTGGTCATTTGTCAGCTAATCAGGAGAGTTTCATGAAAAGTGTGTGTGAGGTGTGTAATCCTGAGTGAAGGAGTTGAACAGAAAATCTCAGAATTCAAGTGGCAGACACTTCAGTGTTGAGTAGTAGCAGGACAGTGTAAATTTTCCTTCTGTACACAGGCACACGGTCCCTGCAGCCTTGTGGAAGAATGCCCGAGGGAAGGACCAGCTGTGGTTTGAAGAAGCTTTGGGCTCCAGCCATCCTGTAATCCTTTACCTGCACGGCAATGCAGGAACAAGGTGAGCCACAAAACACTGATGGCTTTGTTTCAGGATGTGTTTTCCTGGCTTGTCACAGCTTCAGCACATTGAGAAAGACAAACTCCTTTGGGGCTGTAGTGATAGGACAAGGGAAAATGGTTTTAAACTAAAAGAGGGTCAATTTAGACTGGATACAGGGAAGAAGTTGTTTGCAATGAGGGTGGTGGTCAAACACTGGAACAGGTTGCCCAGAGAGGAGGCAGATGCCCCATTCCTGGAAACATTCATGGTCAGGCTGGATGGGGGTCTGAGCAAACTGATCTAACTGAATATGTCCCTGCTTGTTGCAGGGGATTTGGACTAGATGGCCTTTAAAAGTCTCTTCCAACCCAAACTATTCTATGATTAAAACCAAAATAAAATCTAAGATTAGTTTGGTTCTTCTCCTTTTAAAAGAAGGCACATATGTTTTATGGAATGATCCCTCTCCATTTATTGAATGTTGGAATAGATTTATTGCAGTTATCAGAGATACCTGATATTATAGTTTACCTTGTATCCTCTGCTAGAAGCCAGGAGGTTGTGACCCTTCCTAAATCAAGTGATGAGAAGTACTTCTTTTCAGCGTAGTAGTCTCTGAATTGAGACATGGGATGGTATTAGTGCTTCTGTATATGTGACTCATAGGCATTAAATAAACCTTCCAGTTCCTTTTGTGTGTTTATTTTGGTAATTAGCACATCCTGAGGAAGGGAAATCAGAAGGAAAGAGGAAGGTCATGTGCTGACCTTGTTTCATTATTGCATCTGTCCAGGACATTTGTCTGGACCAGGAGCACTTCTAAAATTTGAAAATTTATGGTTGACTGTTTATTGGCTAAAGTTGTAGGTTAGTTCTCTGTACTTCGTTGCTGGATGCTAAAACCATTAATGCAGTATGAAGATATTTCTCAAGATAATATTCTTCCTGCCACCTCTCCACATATTACAGTGCTTTTGTTAGTTTATTAGAACACGGTCTTTTCTCTTAAAAATATTCGTTTTACAAAAGAGTATCAACCCCATGCTGAATTTGGAGTGTCAGTTCTTGGGACGTTTTTTCTTGATTGCATGTTCTTTTGAAGCTGATGTCAGCCCATAGATTCTCTGCAAGAGCAGCAACATTGCAGGAAAACAAGTTCCATGATGTAAACTAAAACTGTTTTAGCTGTGCTGGTAGTGAAGGTTTGCTAGCCTCTACATCACAAGAACATTTTTCACACAAGTTCTTGTCTCAGCAGTGTGCTTTTCTTGGTACAAGGGCATGGTGTGGAAGATGTGTGCTGCAACCCAGGAAATGCATGAGCAGATGGGTTTTGTCAAAACTGCCCTTGCCTTCTTGTGCTGATGCACTGCAAGGTTTAATCAAATTATAGTATTGTTTTTCAAATATTTCTTCACTTTTTTTTTTTTTTGCTTTTGCCTTTATTTGGTGTCGCAAATGATGCAAAGGGAAGCTATTCTGCAGCTTAATGGTGGCGATTTGGGGCCGGTATCTCTGCTGTGTGTGTATTGATTAGATTTCCTTCTCAACTCCCCCAAGTGCTCCTGAGATAAAGGACTGAACCAGGGATCAGTTACATATTTCACATTTGACTCTGTGCACTGGAGGAGCTGGAGGTGTCTTGGCATTGCCATTTCAGATTTAATGTGTGTCACTATATGTTTGTTTCTGTGCTGCACGTTCAGTTGCGTGTCCAAGGACTGCTTTACTGCTGCATTAACCATGAGTAAAAGGCACTGCATTCCTGGTTTGACTTGAGTGATCTGGGGCTGAGGCAAAAATACCATGTGTACTTGATCCCCTTAGGAAAAAATCCTGTTACACTTTAAGCAAAGCATGAAAAAGCACAAATGTGTGCATGTGAAAGGTGACTTTTCAAACAAATGGATCCTCATGTTCAGGCTTGTATGATTCACAATCACTTACAAGCAACCTCTTGCATCTTGCCCTGTTCTTTACTGCATTAGGTAGTTTGTAGCACAGTTGGACCTGACAGCTTTTGGCTGGCAAGTTCTTAGAGGGAGATTTGGCATTTTGGTTTAGAGACTGCACTAACCAAGCCAGTCATGGTATGAAAGTTTTAGAGTTTTCATGAGTGTGAGAGTACATTTACTGTAATACCAATACTAGACCAAAGTTTGAATATGGATTAGCCATGTCATGTTGTGCATATGTCTTAAGGTATGTAATACTGAAATTTCAGAAAATTCACATTAATTTCCATTGTCTAGCTTTCAGTTTATATTTATAAATAAAAGCAGATTCTTCCCCTGGACTTATTTACAGTGTTCAGCTCTGCTTTTCTCTGCTCACATTTTTGCACATGTCCTTTCTTTCCTTGTGCTTGGAGCCAGGTGAGAAAATCTAAGGGCCACCTGCTTGGCTTAATGTCATGATTTCTGCTGGGAGCATCAAACTTTTGAGAGTCAGGACCACTGGCTGGGGCAGCATTTGTGGCAAGAGATCATTTTTGCAAAGCAAAAAGGGACAGACTGTTCTGGGTGCATTACAGACTTTGGAAAAAGCAGATAGCAGGGTGGGTTGAAAAGTTCATTTTTACCTGCTGTGAGGCAAGATTTACATGGAGAAGTTGACTTCAAAATTATGTCCTTCATACCTCAATGAAGCCTGGCTGTCTCCTTGAAGCCTGTGACAAAGCATTTATGGTGTTCATGTTTGGCATGTTTTTATTAGATTGCTTGAGGCAATTGGGAAATATGTTTCTGGAAACTTAAATGCTCAAATGTGGTTGGTTTGAAGGTTTTTTGTGTTTGTTTCTTTTTGTTTGATTGTTTTATGTTTTTCTTTCTTTTTTCCTCTCCTTTTCTCTTCATCAATCACTCTTGCCAGAGGAGGGGATCACCGGGTGGAGCTTTACAAGGTAGGTGGCTGCCTGTGTTGTCCAAACAGCTGCATTAACACATCAGGTGTGCACAGAGTTGAGAAGACGGCTCAAACAGCCCACTGCCAGCAGGCACAGGGCTCTTGGGGCTCTGTGTCCTTTAAATAGAGATTTAAATATATGGGAAAAGGGATCTGTAAGCTGTGAGCATACTTCTCCCATCTTCAAAGATGTTTGAAAGGTCTTCTGTTTGCTGTTGTTAACTGCCAGTTCCAGCTGAGCTAACCAACACAGTTTCTGGGAAAAATCAAAAGTTTTACTTAATTACAGCCCCAGTTTGACTGATTAGCTTAGTACTAATCTAAGGTACCATTTAAGAGTATTCAGTCTGTATTTCATCTTTACCCATGGCACAGCACATTTGTATGAGTGGTGCCATCTCATGTGCAGAAGGTTTTATAGAAAATCCAATGAATTTCCCAGGTGTAGCAATATGGTGTGAGTTATGTGAGAACACAGTTGCTTTGAGTGTTTTCACTAACGATTTTTGAGGTAATTAATTTTATTAAACTCTCTTTTGACTGAAATTCTCACACACAATTTCTTGGTCATGTTTCTAAAAAAACAATAATTGTTTTTGCTGGTTCATTTCAGAGAAGCCTGAGTCTGATTTTTCTTTATAATTTGTGTCAGTGTTGGCACTCATAAAGCTTTATTGCAATTCAATGAAAGATCCCCTGCTGCAAAATCTTTTAAATTCAGATTGCTTAGAGAATAATGTTTAGCAACCCCAAGGAGGCAGGTGATACTTCATTTCCTTTAGGAAAAAAAGATGAGCTAAGTTGCAGAAAATTGGTTGAGGAGACTGTCATGTATGGTGATCTGTTTTGTCATTTTTCTGGGAACCAGCCTCTGCTGCAATGCATTTTGTGTTGGCCAAGACAGGCAGAGGAGCTGGTTTTGATTTTGATGGACAGGAGCAGCAGTGGCTCAGAATATACAGAGTTGGTGTGTTTCTGTGTGTACATATACAGAGAACACAGTTTACCAAAACCCAAGGTTTCTATTCCTGGGTCTGGTATTCTTTGCTTCTGAGAGCATCCAGGCAAGCTGCTTAGTTTGCCTTTTTCAGTCAACGTGAACACACACATGGGCTTAGCAGAACCACTACAGAAACTCCAGGTTTGTGTTTATTCCAGCAGAATGAACCAGTTTGGGATGCTGTCCTTTTTGCTGGTGCTTTTAATAGGCCTTCCATGCAGCCAACACATAGCTAACATGTATAGAAGATAGGTGAGCTCTCAACAGATTAAATAATTTTTAATGGCCTAGGAAAGGTGAGGTTGTATATGATATCTTAGCAGTAAAATCACATTGTAAAGCTAAAAACCAAACTTTTCAGGAAGAAACTTCATCTTCTGCATGTCCAATCAGGGAATTCAACGTGTAAGTGAACATATAAAAATGCCATATAGTGATTCCATTGGAAACAGCTATCTTGGCAGCATCTAATTTGTCTAGTGGGAAGTGCTCTCTCCCTTTCCAGTCAGGTGCCAGTTGTCTCTATCAACTCCACTTGATACTGTGTGCCCCAAAGTGGTTGTGAAATGTTTGTTTATAAATCTACCCAATATATGTAATCTCTTAAAATTGTGCTACAAGTAATGCTCAGCTGACAGGTGTCATTTCATTTGTAGAGTAAAATAGTCCCAGTACCACTAGAAATAGTGCTGGTTTTATATTTCCTCTTTAGGGTATAGCATAATACCAATATTGCTTTTTTAAAAATCATGTATCATGCATAGCCCACAAGAGCAACATTTTAATCCTTTTGTAACTTTTTGTTGATTTTTGTATACCAGAGAGCTGTTAGGTTCATATCGAGCAATGGTAGCTTGGAATGCTTGTATTGGTTTTACCAAGGCACTTTTTCCAAGCAAGTTGGTCTAACATTGAGTGCTTTTAGTTCTTTTTAACAGATTTTATTAGGGTTACCATTGGTTATTAAAAAAATATTCATAATAGAGCAACTGCACATTTTTGATCTATATGTTTAAGCCTTCTGAAACAGGCTCCTATATGTTATGCTTACATTTATGCCAATTCAAGTAACATAATTGAAGCAGTTGTACTCTTTCATTGGAAAATATGAAAGTCTTTGTAGGGGTAACAGTAGGATATTTTCAGATCTTAAGGTCAAAGCTGTTAAAGGGATAATCAACATCTTAGGTAGCCTGATATGAGGTCCAGGAAACAAACGGAGTAAAACCAGTGGGCTGAGATGATTAGGGTTTGGAAAGCTCTGTGCCTTCTACATTGAAACGCTGTAAATTGGCCATTCAACATGTCAATAATTTTATAAAATGAATCCCTGCACCTTGGCCCGATGCAAGAGGATGGCTGGTGTGCAAGGCTCTGTAATGGCTTTCTGAGTGTTTCTCTGCCTTCCAGGTTCTCAGCTCCCTTGGGTACCACGTGGTGACGTTTGACTATCGAGGTATGTGGGCTTCTTTTACAAACACTTGCTGCCAGCTAATTAGGTGTGATTATTGCTTCTCTTTTTTCCACTCATCCAAAGAGTTTCCAGAAATTTCTTTCCAGTGCCTTCCTGTGTAGCACTGCTTCCTGATGTCCCGTTGGGTGGGCTCTGGCTCCTGTGTGTCCTCATGCACAGGGCACATATTTGGGAGCTCAGGAGCAGAGTGAGCCAGGCACACAGGCTGTCACAGCATCCACTTAAGGCATCCCCCAGGTGCACATACAGAAGCTGATGGGCTTGCCTAGGTGTAGCCCTTTTGGATAAGATCTAGTTGACTTTCCTGAGGTCACACAAGGAACTGAACTCGCCTTTACTTCCTCCTAAAAGCTCTTAAGTGAGATGATTTGCTGACAATACTTGGCAGAAGCCATGACTGCTTTGCACCTCTGCACCAGCAGTCAGGCATCTGCTGCTCTTTTTTCACCTTCTTAGTATTTAATCCTTGGCTGCAGTGTACTGCCACTGCAGATACAGGAAAGAAATTAATCCATTGCATTTTTATCAAGAAGACACTTGGGAGAGGTTTATTTGTAGGAGCTTGCCCTGTTTTTCTGTCCTGCTGGCAGCTGCGTCTCTGGCTGCTTATTAGAACGGATGTGGGGTGCTAGCTTGCTAAGACCATACAACGTGTAGATGTGCTGGATGCAGCCAAAACAGTCAGGAGGGTGGAAAATTGCTGGAGGGCACTGATGGAGCAGCACAGACAAACTGATGTTGCAACAGCTCTGTGAGACACGGTTGGGTTTTGGCCCTAAGCATCCGATCCGGGGCTGTCGGACTCCACTTACAAATTGGTTACGTGCATGCAGAAACAGGAAAGGTTTGGGAGCTGGGTTGTTGCAGGTGGGTATGTGCAAGAATGCTGTTGTAGCAGTGTTTGAAATCCAGTCCTTGGTTTTGTTGACTAAATCCACAAAAACTCCTTGGCAGACAGCAGTTACCTGGATTAAATGACTGTGAGTCATTAGCCCTTAATCAGGGCTTTCAGCCCCAAATAGTAGAGGTGCACAAACATGTGAGTAGAGTGCAGGGAACATGTGAAGTCTCAGGTCCCTTTGCAGCTGTAGATGGGCTGCATGGGAGGAGCTGGCTGGCTCTGCTGAGCAGTTTGAGCGATTTTCAGCAGGACTCTTTGTGTTCCAGGCTGGGGTGACTCAATAGGCAGCCCGTCAGAGAGGGGAATGACCTATGATGCCCTTCATGTCTTCGACTGGATAAAAGCACGGAGTGGAGACAACCCTGTCTATATATGGGGACACTCCCTGGGCACAGGGTAAGCATCTAATCTTAGTGGCACTCCTAAAGAACATTAAGCACTGACCTCGGATGAAGGTGCTGTTTTGCTATAATCCCTGGGCTGGCTTGGCTTGGCATCTGTGGTATAATTGCTGGAGGGTGGCTTCTCCCTCTGCACTGTACAGAGTGAGAAGAGCTACAGTGAATGACTGCAGCAATGGATCTTGAACTTCATTGTCCGGAGGGTTCACACTAGAAAGACACTTAGAATAATAGATTGCAGATTGAATTTCAGAGTAGAACATCAGACTTCTCTAGTATTCTAAAAGAGTGTCTCAGACCAGCCATGCTTGTGTGTGCCTTGTCCTTACAAAAGGTTTTCCTCCTGTCCTGATGAACATGCTGTGTGTAATCAGTGCTTGTGTAGATGCCTGCATGACTTTGATGCTGGCCACCTCTGATGTTTGCGTGGTCATGCCTGGCACGGCAAAGGTGTCAAGTACCTTTGCCTTCATGTTTTTAACTTTCATTTCCTGCTTCCTCCCTTTCCATGGCTGTCTGGAGGCGAGTCATGTTCAGCACCACAAGCTCTTACCTTTGTGATTGGTGGAGGAGCAGAGGTAACACAAGAGTTACCTTTGAGCTGATCTGTGTACAGATAAACTGTAAGACCACAAAAGCTGTGAAATACATGCTGGTTCAGGGAGGTATTTCAGGGAAGTGGCTCTTCACTGCTGTGACACTAAACACCCTGCTTTGTTTGAGAGAAGACAAAGACTTTGTCTTGTCCTCTACACTTTTTGCCCTGTTCAGAATCCCTTTCTGGGTCAGAGCATGCTTGTGATGTTTCCCAACACTGCAGTCAGAGTGTCCTGAGACTGGTCCCCAGCTGAGTTCTTTAGTGACCACAGCCAGTCTGGAGTTCAAGGTTTGTGAAATGTGCTGTGCTTGGAGGACTTGGCAACTTTGGAAATATCCCTGTCTCATTATGGTGATGCATAGGGGAGACCTTGCTGCTTTCTGTCCCAGTTAGGGAAGCAACTTGCAGTGTAGCCCTGGGATGCTGCACTCCAGCTGCCTGGATCACAGCCCCCCCTCTGCCTATATCCCGTATTCCCCTCTTGCTTGCTCAGCCCTTGTGGTCTGGAGGTAGGAGGTTGTGTCCCACTGCTGTGGATGTGCTGGGAGCCTGACAGGCACCTGAAAGGAGTCCATCCAAGGGGCTGCCTGGTGTGTTTCTTCCTTGGATTTGTTCGCTTAAACACAGGCCCCTGATGTTACTTGGGGCAGTTGGGTACATGAGGCTGGTGGGAGCACAGGACCAGCTTCCCAGACCTCGTGCAGTGTGAGGGATCGACCTTGTGGCTGTTGAGTTGTACCTGTGCCAGGTACAAGTGGAGCTGCTGCTCTGCAGAGGGCCTGTGCCAATTCAGTGCTCCTTCTTCTTTACAGAGTTGCAACAAATCTGGTGCGGCGGCTCTGCGAGAGAGGTGAGTGTGACGCGTGGATGCGCTTCCCAGCAGCCTGCTGCTGACCCAGATTCCTGCAGATGTTTGGGGTGGTGACAGAGCTGTCCTTGGCACACCGTGGCAGCAGCTGCTCTCATGAGGCAGACCCTGACCTTGCTGGCTGTCTGCACCCCTGCATTTCAGTACATTGCCTTTGGCTTTTCAGAAACGCCTCCGGATGCCCTGATCCTGGAATCTCCATTCACCAACATACGGGAGGAGGCACGGAGTCACCCCTTTTCTGTGGCAAGTACACAGTGACACTCAAACTGGTGGGATGGAATTGTGTGCATAGAAATGAACCTTCAGAAGTGCTGGAGCTTAGCTAACTGCACCACTTGTGGGGCAGTGGTGGTGTCTGTAAACTACACTTGAGACAGCTGCTGGGAACACACAATAAGCAGTGCCAGAGCCATGTGTCCAGCATGGGAATGAACTGGCTCTGAACTGAGCAGACACCCAGTCCAGGCCTCAGATGCAGCCAAGCTGGTGAGATGCCCTGGGATAAAACTCTTCGCAGAAGAATTGCCTGCAGTCCTGCATGAAACCTGGAGACTTTGACCATGCAAGCACCCACAGGGCCTGCTCCTGAGCAGGCTGGTAAGATAGGCCTGAAACAGGAGAGGAAAAATAATGCTGGTGGAAATGGGCAGTCTTACAGCAAAGAGCATGGTCAGCAGCCAAGGGATGTTATGGGGTGGCAGTGGCCTGCCCTGTTAGTGCTGTTTGTATCAGTGGCCTGCTGGTGCCTGCCACTAATGCAGATTTTTCCTCTCAGATATACAGATACTTCCCTGGATTTGACTGGTTCTTCCTTGACCCCATCACGACGAGTGGAATTAAATTTGCAAACGATGAGAAGTGAGTTACCTCTTTGCTGGGGTCTCAGCTGTGGCTGCAGTGGCAAACATCAATGAGGATAGAGATGAGACTGCACTCTCTGGCTTTTTTTTGTTGCTGCATTGCTCTTACTGGAGTGATTTCAATTACTCTCACAGCCCTGAGAGCAGCACAGTGCAGCTCTGTCTTGTTAAATTGTTCATGTAAGAACAGATGCAACAGAGAGAACAGAGACTACTCAGGGATTTGCTGATTTGGTTTGTGCCATTTATGCTTTTCAAGTGTACCTTACAAGTTAAACAGTAGCATTGGAACATGGAAGGAAGGTTTGAGTAGATTTCTTTGCTGTGTATTTGCTTAAGCCACTGTGCCTGTAATCACATTGTGTCCTTTCACTGAGTCTTTCATTGAAGAGCCTGAGCATTTGTGAGTTTCCAGTATTGGAACCAAAC